GTGCCAGTTCAAAGTAAACATACATAAAGTATATATTCTTTTGTTGCATATATACGTAATAATGATTTAACATTGCTATTATAATGTAGATTGTAATAAGGCTCAATAAATTTAAAACTAATGGAGAGAAACAGGGTTACGAGCCAATAAATTCTTTATAAACTTGTACATGTGTTGTTAAATCATTATTACGTATATATGCAACAAAAGGATATATATTTTATGAATGTTTACTTTGAACTGGCACCTTCAATAATATATCAGTTACTTTCCATTTTAATATATTTTATTATTAGATAATTATTTAAAGTTCTGAAGATTTCAATACTAAAACCAAGTAATTTTATGTTTTGAGTAACTGTATCAAATAATTTTTATCTTTATTATTTTAAAAGAATTGATTTTTTGTGCTGTATTTTATCTTCAGATTTATTGAAGGGAAAGTCCTGAAAAGAAAATGGAGGAATCTTTTAAATCCGTACCTTTTTTCTTTTCAGACTTTTCCTATCAACAAAGTACAAAAAGAATCAATTCTTTTATAATTATATTAGGAATAGAGAATATAAATTAAGATATCTACCAAACAAATAAATAACAGATCTGGAGACACGGTAGTGTCTCGGTAAATAAGTAACCTAACCTAATGCTGTAAAGAGAAAATAATTATATAGAAAATAATTTGTATTCTTACAGTGGAATTACAGCAGAGAATTTGTGTAATAAAGCAGAAAATATCTAACCGCACTTACGTGTTCGTCTATTCTATGCCATCGATGTGACAGAGTTCCTAACCTCAATTCTTTGTTATTGCCGAGACACTTAATAATCCCACTTTAACGATCGTACAGATCGCAGCAATCGATATTGTCGCGACCACATTTATCTCTTGCGCCAAAAATTCCAGAATGCATTTCCTCACTCCGTAGCTAGCAATAATGATGACGACGACGACGACGTTTCTTACAAACGAACCCATTTCCTCGACGGCGAACACCTAGACACTTACTTCCTCGAAGGCGAACAC